TTAGCCTGAAGATTCTCTTTAGCATTTTTTGTAGGACATGATTGTTAGCTGTGATTCTCTGAGTTTTTCTTGATATATAGTATTTCTTAATTTCTACTTTGTTTTTGGAAGATATTTTGGCTGGATCTATATAGTGTTTTTCGTTGACAATCTTTTTTATTTACTTTTATTTACTTTTTATACTTTATATTTTCCTATACATCAATATGTCATTCCATTGTCCTCTGGCTCCATAGTTTCTAATAAGAAGTCAGGTATTGTGAGATGAGAGCTGAGACTGACGCTTCCTTAACTGAGCCTCTGCCTGGCTCTGCTCTGAGTTGTGTTTGTTGTTGCTGCTAAGTTAACACCTTTTGGAGCTTATGGAGGTCTTGTAAAAGACTTCACTGCTACTGATTTGACTGCATTTGTTGCCAGGGCTGCCTTGTCTGTTGGAAAAATCTCACCTGAAACTATTGACAGTGTCATTGCAGGCTATGTCATGCAGAGCTCTTTTTATGCGGCATGCTTGGCAAAACATGTTGGTTTGTGTGTGGAAATCCCAGAAGAGACTCCAATTCTTACTGTTAATAGGCTCTGTGGCTCTGGTTTCCAGTCCTTTGTGAATAGATGTCAGGAAATTTGTGTTAAAGATGCTGACGTCAGGATGAACAGTTAGCGTAATGGCTATGTCACTGAACTCCCACATAGTCGACAACGGGTCGAGTCCCAGACCCGGTGGCTTAAACTCAGCCAGGCGTGTGTGTGTGTGCGTGCCCAAGATCCCAAGAGGAGAATGGAGGAGAAGGAATTGTGGCGTGACCATCCCCCTGGGAGGTGATTTCTCGCTTTCTATCTCTTTGTATCTCTCTGTCTTTCTTGCGAGCACACGTGCCCTATAGAAAAAACCTAAAAAAAAAATGCTTAAGTCTTGTGTGGAGGAACTGAGAGCATGAGCCAGTCTCCTTACTGTGTCAGAAATATGTGTTGGAACCAACTTTAGATCGGATCTCAAGCTGGAAGATCCTTTGTGGGCAGGATTAGCGGATCAGCATGTCCAATTCCCTATGGGAATTACTGCAGAGAATCTTGTTACAAAACATAAAAAAAGCAGAGAAGAATGAGACAAATATGCCTTGCAGTCACAGCAAAGGTGGAAGGCTGTTAATGATGCTGGCTACTTTAATGATGAAATGGTACCAACAAGGTGAAGACAAAGGGAAACTGCCAATGCAAGTAGATGAACACATTCGGCCCCAAACGATCCTGGAACAGTTACATAAACTTCTGCCAGTATTCAAGAAAGAAGGAACCATCATTAGAGGGAACGCGTTGGGGTATCTGGTGGTGCTGGAGTTGTTATCATAGCTAGTGAAGATGCTTTTAAAAAACATAACTTCACACCACTGGCAAGAATTTTGGGTTACTTTGCTTCTGGATGTGATCCTTCTATCATGGGTATTGGTCCTGTCCCTGCTATCAATGGAGCACTGAAGAAAATAGAACTGAGTCTTAAGGACATGGATTTGGTAGAAGTGAATGAAGATTTGCTCCCCAGTACTTGACTGTTGGGAAGAATTTGGATCTTGACCCGAGTAAAACCAATGTGAATGGAGAAGCCACTGCTTTGGGTCACTTGTTGGGAGGGTCTGGATCAAGAATTTCTGCACACCTGGTTCATGAACTAAGGCATTGAGGTGGAAAATATGCTGTTGGATCAACTTGCATTGGAAGTGGCCAAGGAATTGTTGTCATCATTCAGAGTACAGCCTGAGAGCCCACGGAGCCCACAGTGGCCAACTCTTGGGCCAGGCCATAGTAAAAAAGGTGACCTTCTGAGCAGCTGCCATAACTGGCCATGCTCTGTTGCTGAAATAGCAATTGAGGTTGAGCAAGCAATGGTGAGGTGAAAATGAGCCTATTGCAGAGCAGATTCTCTGAAATTCACACCAGTCAGTCATGATGTATTTCTGAACTAAAATTCAACTATAGAAGGCCTTAAAAAAGTTGTATTCTTCCAAATAACAACCACTTATGCCTTAGAGAATATGATTACAAGGAAATTGAATAACTATTGGCTTAACTACAAAAAAAAGAAATCAGTTATTTATCTGATTAAGAGTTCCTCAATGTAATGAATTGTGTCTCTCTTGCTGCTTTCAAGAATGTCTTTGTCTTTCAACTGTTGACATGTCTACCTGTAGGTTTCATTATATTTATCCTACTTGTATTTCATAGAACTTATTAACAATATAAATAAATACGTTTTTTAAGAACCAAATTGTGGAAATTTTCATCATCTTTCTTCAAATATTCTTTCTGCCATTTCTCTTCTCTTCTTCTGGGACTTCTATTGTGCATATGTTGCTACAATTGGTGATGTCTCACATATCTCTAAATCTCTGTTCATTTTTCTTTAGTTGTTTTAAATTTCTGTTCTGTGAGTGAAATAAACCCTTTGGACCTATTTAAGAATTCACAATATTTTTATTCTGTTAGTTCAAGTCTATTGCTGAGCTGCTCTAGTGAGTATTTTATTTTAGTTATCATACTTTTCAACTCAGTAATTTTTATTTGATTTTTGATCATTTATATTCCTTTATCGACACTCTTTATTTGGTGATACATCATTCTCTTATCTTGCTTCTTGTTCTTCTTCTTCTTCTTTTTTTTTTAAACTGGAAGGTGCATGCATTCACCAGAGACCAAAAAAGAGAGAGGGGAAAGCACTCTTCCCTACATGGGAAATAATCCCTTCTTCTCCATCTCTTCCTTTACTTGGGATTTTGGGAATGTGTACACATACTTCTAGTGCATCGCTCAAGCTGCTGGTCCAGGACTCATACTGCACAGTTTGCCATATGGGCATGGAGCTGGACCTATTTTATTCTTCATATGTGGTTTCCTTCAATTGTTTGAACATGTTTATTATAGCTGATTTTTAATCTTCTCATAGTAAGTCCAAAGTTTCTATTAACAGCGTTAATTTTTGAGTATAGGGTTTACTTTTCCATATCTTTTCATGTCTGGTGGTGCTTTTTCTTTTTCGTCCTTTCTTTCTCTTTCTTCTTTCTTTCTTTCCTTTTTCTTATTCCGTTAAAGGTTGCATGCACTTGTCATAGAGAGACAGAGAGAGACAGAGAGAGAGAGAAACCATTCTTTAAGGGGGAATGGCCACAGTGCAGTTTTTTCTCTTCCATTATCCTCTTAGGATTTTGGGCATGAACATACATGTGCCTGGGATGTTTTTCAAGTCACCAGATCTTGGACTCCAAGTGTTCAGTTGTCCATGTGGAATCCAGCTGCCTTAATCACTATACCACTTGACTGGCCTCTAATTTCTTTCTTAAAGTCAACATTTTGAACAATATAATGTGGCAAGAGGAGTTGTTGCATTTTCTGTTTGTTGTAGTAGTAGTTGTTTATTTAGCAACTTTCTTGAACTAATCACATTAAGTTCCTATTTGTCAATATGTGTGGCGACCAAAATTCTTCATTATGTGTAGCAACGGAAATCTCTGCTTGGTTAGCTTAGTGTTCAACTAATTATTGGACAGAGATTCCCTTATATGCCTTGCATCAATAATTCTTCCTGTCCTTGCCAAGAGACTCTCTTTACATATTAGAGATGCATTACTAATGCTTTTGCAGGTATTTCACAATTATACTTAGCCTTTATTTTCCACTTTTACAGAGCCTCAAATTCTGCCAAAGATGAGTGATTATGGCCTCCAAAGGTTTTCTTGGGCATTTGCCCAGCTCTGCATATGCACATGGTCTTTTAGATTCCCAGGGATGTGTCAGAGCTTTGCAAAGCCCTCACATGAACAATTTATTCCCCAACCTTTCTTTTTAACTTTTTAAAAATCAGTTTCTTATTTGTTCTAACTATTACTACAACCTCAGATACCTGCACTGTCAAACAATTGTTGTTAATTGGTGGGTTTTTTGTTTTTTGCTTTTTTTTTTTCTTAAGTATTTGTATTTATTTCCAGAAAGAGAAAGAGATGAGCACCCATGACAGAATCTTTACACTGTGATCTTCCCCACAGCTCTGCAGCCCTCTGATCACAGGCATGCCTTGCACGTTGAAGTAGGTCTGGGGCATAAACCCAGGACCTTTCCACATGTCTTCAAGCATTGTGCAGCAACACCTTTATTGCCTGTGCCACTGCATTGGGTCCAAACTTTTTTGACCAATGCCTCTGCAAAAGGGCATTGAGTCAGGACCACTGGGTGGCATAGAGGTTTAAGTGCTGGACTCTCACATTGCTGTGGGAGTCCCAGCAGCTTGAAACTCATCCCAGGCCTGTGTGCGTGCGTGCCTAAATTCCCGAGAAGAGAACGGAGAAGGGATTGTGGTGTGGCCATCCCCTGGGAAGTGATATCTTTCTGTCTCTCTCTATCTCTCTAATGAGTGCATGCATCCTAGAGCAAAAATCTATTAAGAAAATAAAAAGGCATTGAGTAAGCTGAGCCAGGTGAAATAAGGACAGCCCTAGAAGTGGGGGCTTCTGGAGAACTACTAGACAGTTCTCTGGGAATGGGACTTGTAGGAAGCTCAAAAGTCTTCTTCCTGCTCTAGTGACTGCTATGCTGCTGGTTTTCATGATACCCTCATGGTGAAGATATTGGTTTCCAAGGCTATTACATAACCAAGGACATGGGGTTCAGAACAGGGCAAGCTAGAATGCCATGAAGGTCATTAGTCTTTTGATTCAGGCATTTTTCTTGAAAGACATGTCTGAAATAGCCATAAGATTTTGTGTGGAGCACCCCCGCCCATCGCCCTCAGCGCCTATTTCAAAATGGCGCTCAACGGAAGCCCGCTGAGCGCTCAAAGCAGTAAACAACTTTAAGGAAGTAGGGCAGTGGGGAGCGTGGAGAGCACAGGAACACCGCATGCAACCAATCCTCTTTCGAGGACTGGCTTCCGTGCTCGTGACCAACGTGCCAATTGGTCAGGGCCCTTTATAAGGCGCTGGCGCGGGGAAGAGAGGAGGAAGAAGACTGTACAGAGCCTGGGGTAAATAAAGTGCTGTAGAGAAGACCGTCTCCAGGTTTGTAAAGTGACAATTTTGGTTAATTTTCAGAGTTCTGAAAAAGTTGATTTTGACCCTAATTTTCAGTGTTCTTGTTGTTGTCATGGAAGAGTGGATGTTCAGAGGTCTTTTTGCTCTCACTGGTTTTACCCATTGGTTTTGTCTCATTGTCTCTTCCTAGCTTTGCTGCACTGTGTATTTGGTATGATGCTTTCTAAGTCTCCATCTAAATCATAAATACCAGTGTTGATCAAGACTGGACCAACAATAAACTGAGGCATGTTCCTGAACCAACCCCTCCAGGTTCATGTCAGTTACTTGATATTAGGATTAAAGAATTCAGGGAACCAGCAGTTAGCGTAATGGCTATGTCGCTGGACTCCCACGTATTCCACCGCAGTTCATGTCCCGGACCTGGTGGCTTAAAACTCATGCCGGGCACATGTGTGTGCGTGCCCAAGATCCCAGCAGGAGAATGGAGGAGAAGGGATTGTGACGTGACCATCCCCCCTGGGGGATGACTTCTCACTTTCTGTCTCTATGTCTCTCTCTGTCTGTCGAGCACACGTGCCCTACAGTGAAAAAAACCTCTCCAAAAAATAATAATAATAATTCAGTCAACTAGCACCCCATCACATTTTATCACATTTTTTAATTCACATTTTTATCATCTTATCCTGAAGTGTATTTTTTGGCCACTGTTGAATGTTTTACGTATACCAAAATGTATTTTTTAATATTATTCTTCATTTTTAATACCTTTATCCTGATTTTTTTCTCCGTAATATTTATCACTATTAATATATAGCTATTCACTTTATGCCTGTTTCACCTGCTTTGTCACTAGAATGGCTTCTTGAAAGGAAGAAGTTTTGTTTTGTTTTATTCTGCCAGGTTGCCAGGGTTGCCAGAACTCTAGATGGCTTCTTGATATTTAGTACCTGAATCAACAAATCATTTGAGAATATAGTGAATGAGTTATTCCATCACTTAAAAACCTTTTAGAAAATAAATATTATTAATTTGATGTACTTTGTTCCTAAAAAAGAGTCAAGTAACTTCACAGTGGAATTTATAAGCTTTTCACAAAGCAGACGAATGACTTACTTAATAGTCCAGTCCAGAATTTCCAGGGGATATTACATTTACTAATAATGTGAAGTTTAAAAACCCTTACATTTGGCTTACTTTTTTGTCTCTAAGTTTTGGCATCTCTCCCATTCCTCACAAATTCCCAAAGATATAGTTAACAATGAATCTAAGGTCGTAACAGAACGTTTTTTAATGCTTTGGGATATAGTGACTCTGAGTTCAAGAACTAAACAATTTTAAGGCAATTACTTTTTTTTTTTTTTTAGTGCTCAAGGAAGAAAAGATAGTAAATGAGTGTAATTATTTGTAATTTGAAAACCATTCTCCCTGGGGGATAAGACTAGAGTAAAATAAGAGTTGAGTAATTCTGATTTTTCTGTTATGAGCTGATATCATGCTGAAGCCTGGTGTGTTTTCAGTCTTCTCTCTTTCTCCTCTCTCTCTCTCTCTTTTTTCTTTTTCTTTCCTTTTTTTTCCTAGAAAGTTTGTGTGCTCACCAGAGACAGAGAGAGAGGGAGAGGTGAAAGTTCCCTCATAGAAAATGAATGGTCATGCTGCAATCCCTTCTTCATCTCTCCTTTCTATAGGCATTTTGGGTGTGCGCGCACTCACACGTACCCAGTGTGTTTCTCAAGTTGCCAGGTCTAGGACTCGAAGCACTTGGCTGGCCATGTGGAATCCAGCTGCCTTAATCACCAGACCATGGAGCTGATTCAGACTTCTCTTTAGACATGTATTAAAAGTCCTGCCTTTTACCAATCACATCTAGTGGAAGTCTAACTTACCCACAGGTTTTGGCCTCTCTGCAACTTCTTGTAGGCTCCTGCCACTCTCCTGGACTTCATCTTTGTAACTTCCAGGTTTAGTACTTGCTTTAAACAGAAAAATTAAGGCTTATTCAAGAGCCTCCCCTGTATGGTGGGTGACTTTGGTTGCCTCCCCTTCTTCCACGGGGATGATAGATAATTGTTAGCTCTGGTCTGTCATCTCCACTAAGACATATTCCCATTACTGTCTCTGGCCACAGGGTTAAATTTACATTGTTCTCTATAAACACCCACATTTTTCTCTGGTTCTTTCGTAATATCCAAATGAACAAAAGTACTGAGATATTCCTGCTTCAAACAAACGAACAGCCTTCACCTCCTTATGTTGAGAATGTTAAAAGAGGACTAAGAATAAGAATAACATTATAACCAATTTTGGTAAACAGTTAAACTAAACATATATTTCAAAGCAAACTGTAATGAATCGTGACCTGTTCATTATGGAATTGATCAAGGATTTGGAAGGTGGGTTAAGTGTCACTGTCACTGCCTCCTGCCTGCCCTCTGCCCTCCACCCCCCCCTTTTTTTTTTTTTTTTTTTTAAGAGATCTTTGCCTTACAGCATGTGCACTCACTGGAGAGAAAGACAGACAGAGACAATGAGAGGGAAAGTGAGAAATCACCGCACAGGGAGGACGGCCCCGCTGAGATCCTTTCTCCTCCATTCTCCTCCCAGGATCCTGAATACATATGCACACACGTCCAGTGTGATTCTGAAGCCACCGCGTCTGGGACCCAGGCTGAACCACAGTCGGTTGTGTGGGAGCCCAGCCATGTAACTGCTGTGCCATCTGCTGGCCCCGGGGCTGGGTTTCTTTAATCTGGGTCAGAGGGGTCTTATCCGCACTTGTTTTCAGGTGGGTGTGGGTTTCATGCACGCATTTCCCTCGTGATGGGGGAGACATGGTAGATGGGTCCAGTTATTGTTCTCCTAATTCTGGAGATGGAGGAAAGCTTTTCTTTGTCTTCTTATGGGGTCATTAGGAAAGTAATGACACATTTTTTCAAGGTTTTTTTTTTTTTAATGCAAAAATGCGTTATGACTTTTCAGACAAACCAACAGAAGCATTCTCTAGAAAGTTCCTTGTCTCCCTTTCTTTTTCTTTTAAAAAGTTTATTTTTTTCCATGAATGAGAAAGAGACAGGCTCTTCACACAGCAATCACCCTAGTCTCAGCCAGCGGGCATGTTCAGCCTTGATAGGGTTAATTGGGCAGAGTGGAAACTGAAACAAAGCAGAGAGAAGTCTCAGCTCCCAGGAAAGAGAGGACGTTCTGTAAACAGGGCAGGCTGCTGTGCGAGTAGAAGCTGTGATCTTGGGCTATAGGTGGCAGCAAGGGAAATTGAACAGCCCTGGAGAAATCTAACAAGGGCTAAGGGGGTTGTCCCCCACCAAGTTCAGGGAACATTCGATTGTGATAAGGGATGGTGATAAGGAGGGCGTGGACACTTTAATTTCCAGGCCTGTCTGGGAAGACACAAGCTGTCATGGAAATTTAGGGACAGAATCAAAGTCAAGGAAAGCTGCAAACTGGGAAAAAGCAACTGTGACAGACACGTAGTATACCTATACTATATGTAAAAGGTCACAGCTACTAATGAGAGAACCACTAAAATCACATCAGAAAGAAATAAGTGACGACCCAGAAAATATCATCTAGGTAGAGGACATTAAAGAAAAAAAAAGTGAAAATCTGGGGCCAGCAGAGGGCATAGCGGTTACATTGCTGGATTCCTACATGGCCGACCATGGTTCGAGTCTTGGACCTGGTGGCTTGAAAATCACGCCAGGTGTGTGTTTGTGCATGCCGAAGATCCCAGAAGGAGAATGGAGAAGAGATTGTGGTGTGATCATCTACCCTAATGGGTGATTTCTCACTTTCCCTCTCACTGTCTCTAGCTCTTTCTCCAGCGAACTCAGGTGCTCTAAGGCAAAAGCTTCCAAAAAAAAAAAAGTGAAAATGTCAATTTCATGAAAAAAAAAAAATACGGAATCAAAACAGTAGTCTTGACGAACATCTCAGCCTAAGAAGATTTTCTAAAAAGTTTTTTAAAATTTCATTTCTTAGGATCAGCAGATGGCATAATGGTTACATCGCTAGACTTGCACATGGTTGACCATGGTTCAAGTCCCAGACATGGTGGCTTAAAACTCATGCTGGCACCATGTGCATATGTGCTCAAAATCTTGAGAGGAAAATGGAAGAGAAGGGATTGCAGTATAACCATCCCCCCCACGGGGGAGGTAATTTCTCGTTTTCTGTCTCTCTGTCTCTTTGGTGAGTGAGTACATGTACCCTACAGCAAAAATCTCTCTCAAAAAATGTTTTCATTTCTTTTATGAGTGAGACCTAGAGAGATAAGAGAGACAGAGATAGAGAACCCCAACAGGACATGGATGCTGCGATCCATACCTAGCTTTAGCCAGCCCTGAATCATGGCACATGTGTCCTGGCAAACTTGGAAAAGTATGTAAACATGAGCAAGCAACCTTGCCATGTGGGTCAGCCTCACTGAGCTTTGTGTTTTACCACTGTGCTACCATCCAGCTCTCAAGACAATTTTTTTTTTAAGAATTATTTCATTTTGCTCATTTATTTATTTGCTTATTTATTTAATGAGAGGGAGAGAGAGAGAGAGAGAGAGAGAAAGTGAGAAAGCAAGCTGCCAGGTACAGGACTCAAACCACAGTCAGCCATGTGGGGGTTCAGTGCCTTAACCACCATGCTACCTGCTGGCCCCAACATATTGTTTTAAACAACTACATGTGTGATCATTTGTTATGTAGTGTAGCAAATTAATACATGATACATCCAAGACAAGGCCCAAGAAGGTTCTGTACCTATAGGCTGAAAACCAGATCTGACTTTATGACCTAATAAAAAACCTCACCAAGTTAAGAAACACACTGATAAGTCTATAAATTGACTCCTCTGTTGCCACTGAGCCTATACTAACCTCTATGTAGTCATTTACTCCTCATTGTCAGCTCTGTGGATTGTACTTATAATTTTTCACCAGGAAATACTGAGAATTCATCGAACTATTGAATATTTATTGATAAGATAAAACAGGGTATGGGAGGCAAAGCTTTCTCCTCCAGTGCATTTCTGATTTAATATAACCACTTAGAATTTGGAGTCACATGCCAAATTGACTCTCATTATGAAGCAAAATTAATAGCATTTCTTTGCATTTTCTAAGCATCTGGTACCAAGGATGGCGGGCCATAGACTTAATAAAATATGGCAGCATGATAGGGCCTTTGAAATCAACTAACATCTTATTGCCTTTGTTTTTCAAATGAAGAACTGAAACCTACAGTATTTCTTGGGATTTGGACAAATTTTTTGACAACTACATCTATCTTTTCCTTCTAAACTACCTAGTAAGCTTCATCTTCTTGGAATACTATATAAAGAAACAGCTTACAAAAGAGACTTTTCCTCAAATAGTGATACTTATGTGTGGCATTAGAAAATGATGTGTGGGGACCAGCAGTTAGCGTAATGGCTATGTCACTGTACTCACATGTAGTCGACCGCAGTTTGCATCCCAGACCCGGTGGCTTAAAAATCACGCCGGGCGCGTGTGCATGTGTGCCCAAGATCCCAAGAGGAGAATGGAGGCGAAGAGATTGCGGCGTGGCCATCCCCCCTGGGGGGTGATTTCTCACTTTCTGTTTCTCTCTCTCTGTCTGTCTGGCGAGCACACGAGCCCTATAGCAAAAACCTCTCAAAAAAAAGAAAATGATGTGTGAGAAAGATGATGAGCACAGAATTAGTGATTTCTGTAGACTTTTAGAAAAGGGACGTGGAACAGGTGATAGTAGTGAAACCAAATAAGATAATCTTAGAGCGTTAATGTGGACCTAGATTTGAGATGTTACAACAATTTCAGAGCAGATAATAGAATGAGCAAGAAACTCACGAGCTTTCTGGTTGACGGTCAACCACCAAATAAACATTTACCGTGTGCCTGCTGCTCTTATAAGAGATACCATGGTGATCCTTCAGAAACTCATGAGAAACTTATGTCCACATGGAATTTGCAGTCTAGTGGAAAAAGACAGAACAATAAACATGTATAATGAGTAAATAAGGGGACCAGTAGGTGGCTTGGTGATTAAAATGCTGGACTCCTACATGGCTGACTTCAGTTTGAGTCCCAGACCTGACAGCTTAAAGATTACACTGGGCAAGTAGGAATTGGCAGCATGGCTATCCCCCTGGGGCGTGACTTTTCACTGTTTCTTTCTTTTTCTGGAGCGTGCATGTGCCCTATGGCAAAAATATAAATAAATAAATATAAATAAATAAGATGGCTTTAGGTATTTTAAAAAATATTTATTTTATTTTATTCATTATTATTTTTAATTTAACTAGAGAGGGAAAGGGAAAGTGACAAAGCAAGCCACCAGACCCAGAACTCGAACTATGGTCAACCATGTGGGAGTCCAACACCTTAACCCACCATGCCACCTGCCAGCCCTGGCTTCAAATATTTATACATGCTTTGAGGAAAATAAAATAAGGAAATGTGACAGAGAGTGAGGGGTGGGTTTCAGAGATAGTCTGTTTCATAAGATAACTGTTGAGGGTTGGCAGGTGGCATGGTGGTTACAGTGGACTCCCTCATGGCCAACTGTGGTTCAAGTGTCAGACCTGGTAGCTTGCTTTCTCACTTTCTCTCTCTCCCTCTGGTGAGTGCATGTGCCCTATAGCAAAATTAAAATATAATGATGATAACAAATAAAATTAAATAAGTAATTCTTAAAAAAAAAAAATGTTAACAGTCAAGCTGAGCTCTGGGTGACAAACTCAAGGTAGTCATATGAAATTCCAGGGAAGGGTACTCTAAACAGAGAGATCAGCAAGTGCAAAGTTACTAAGCTTAGCATGTTGCAACAGAAAGGCCAGTGAGGCTGAAGCATAGTGAGTGAGAGAGAATGAGGAGAAATGAAGTCAGGGGGCCAGGTCACGTAGGACTCAGTATGCTAAGGCATTCTCCTTTTCAGCTTCGTGGACTGGAAACAGTCAGAAAGAGTGGAGTAGAAGAGAACAAACTTGACTGGGTAGAGCGAGTGAGGCTGAATCAGTGGAAATGGAGGTTTTCAGATGTAAAAGACCAGAAAAGACACTTGAGCAAGGTATTACATGGGGTACATGGTGTCTGGGAGAGGACATTCCATCCCATTTTCTATAAAAAGAATAAAAAGAAAGAGGGACTGGAGAATAGATGAGTGTATGATCAGGTTCTGTAGTGAAACAGAGCATATCTATGTATTCTTTTGGCTCCTGCAATTATGGGGATTAAAAACTCGCACAATCTGGGGGCAGCCTGGAAGTCTGGAAGAGCTGGTGGTACAATTTCAGTTTGAGACTGATAGCATGAGGATTAGAAGAACGGATGGTGTGAGTTCCAGTCTGAGTGCAGAAGCCTTGATAACTCAGCCCATAAATAGTCAGGGAAGTGAGAAATCTCCTTCACCCCACATTTTGTTCTACTTAGGCCTCAGACAGATTGTATAAGGGGATCTGCTTTACTGGATCTATCAATTCAAATGTAATTCAACGTTTCAGTCTGCTTTGTTCCGTCTAACATTCGATGTTTCTCAGCTAGAAACACCCTCACAGATACACACAGGCACTGAATACCGTTTAATCAAATATCTGGGCATCCCATGGCCCAGTCAAGTTGACACATAAAATTAGCCATCAACAATGAACAAGGAGCCTAGAAGGCAAAAAACAGACTCAAATCCAGTATGCACCAGTTATTAACTATGATCTTAGGCTCAAAAATGACTGTTGTTAAGTGTTTCTCAGAGTGCTTGACCCTCGGACTTGCTATTTCTATCTATCTAGACATGAAGTAAGAAGACTGGGAACCAGGGAGGTGGTTGGTAAGTTTAGAAAATTCTAAGAGAATTTCAGAGGAAGATTCATTATAGCGTTCATGACTAAAATTATGTTTGTTATAGGGGAGGAAAATGAAGCAGAGGAAGGGAGAGTAACTGAACCCCCTTTACCTCCCAGCAGACTGGGATAACAGGCTGTTCCATGTCTATATTGAGGCTCTCTGCTTCTAAGGATGCCTGCTTCTGGGTGTTTGCATAGACACCTCCTAAAATCTACCCATGAGTTTCTCAGGCTCCTGTCTCTTGAGCACCTCACATGCCATGCTTCCTGGAGAAGTCTCCATTGCAGATGGCAGCTATGGAGAGAGGAAGGGTGAATACTAGAGAGAGGGATGAAACATGTGAAGCTAAGAGGCATTCTCAGAGCCAGAGGGTTATACAGCTTGTTCAGGGCTTTGCTGGAACCAAAATAGACTCCACTTTCCAGTTGCAATGGAAAAAAGTGACCTGGATATTATGATTGAGGGCAAGGACAGCGGGTGAGACAGTCTGGATACATGCCTTCTTAGGCCTGATTTCTAAACTGTATCTAGCTGGTTAAATATTTTTAATATTCAGAATGATTTTTCTTTAGTAATGCAGAGACAACTGAATAGAAACTGAGGGGTTTCTTTCCATTCACCAATGTGAATTGCACACAGTTTTATGCCAGTCATTGAATTCTGATTCTAGAAAGCTTGCTACCAATGTGGGAAGCACGGAAGTCTGCAATTTTTTTTTTGAAAGGTTTTTGCTATATGGCACATATGCTTGCCAGAAAGATAGAGAGAGACAGAAAGGCAGAAAGTGAGAAATCACCCCCCCCAGGCGGGATGGCCACTCCTCAATACCTTCTCCTCTATTCTCCTCTTGGGATCTTGGGCATGCATGCACACATGCCTGGCGTGTGTTTAAGCCACTGGGTCTGGGACTCAAACCACAGTAGACTATATGGGAGTCCAGAGACATAGCCATTATGTCATCTGCTGGTCCCAGAAGTCTCCAAAGTTAATCGTAGGGAGAAAAAGAAGTTTCAGGCGAGTGTAGAGGGTTTGTGGACATTGAGTTCCTTCCTGACAAGATCATGTTAAAAACAGGAGGGGCTAGAAAAGTTACTGTGCATTTACCCATTAGAGCGGCAAACATCAAAGACTGTGAACATCTGCTATGTGAAAGAGTAGCAGAATCAACATGCTCACCAGAAATAAGTGGAAGACAAATTGAAATAATAATGAGATATCAATTTACATCCATCAAAGTAGTTGCTATTATACAAGGATTTACATACAACGTTTCACACAGCGTTGATCATAGTTGAAAAAAACTGGAATCCCCCCATCAGTAGGGCATTCATCGCTTTTATTGGTATGCCTTTCCATGATGTGAAGGCATGATACATGATCATGATACATGATCATGCCTTCACATCATGGAATGGCATACCAATAAAAGCGATGGATAACGAGGAAAAAACAGTAATAAGACTCTGGAAATAATAATGGAATAATAGTAAAGTTCACAAAGAGAGCCTCAACAGCTCACAGAATGCCAGATGTTGACATCCAGACTTCCTCTCTGTCTCTCTCTGTTCTTCTTGGCTTCTCTTTTAGATAGACTTTCTCTTCTTGAGGGCAAGATGGGCATCCAGCCATACATTTTCAAAATAATTATTTATTATTATTATTATTATAATTTAATGAGAGAGAGAGGGAGAAAGAGAGAAAGTGAGAAAGCAAACCGCCAGGTCTGGGACTTGAACCATGGTCAGCCATGTGGGAGTCCAGCACCTCAACCACCATGCTACTGCTGGCTCCCATACATCTTCCTCAGAACTGGTGATTTCAAAGAAAGAAGCAATCCTCTCTCTTTCAACTCCATCAGTCTCAGAAGAGAAGTCTGAGTGGCCTGACAGCAGCAGAGGTCACAGTGTATCCACAGAACACAGAGAAGACCAATGACAAGGTTTGGGGGTCCCCATTGAAATTTACGCTATAACTTGACCTCCAATGTGGCAATATTGGGAGGTGTGACCTGCTGGAAGGTGTTTGCACGTAGGGGTAGATTCTTCATGAATAGAGTAAATTCATCTCTGTTATTCCTAGTTAGTCCAAAAAGGACAGGCTGTTATGAAAGCAAGTTGACTGCCCTCAGGCCTCTCTCTCTCTCTCTCGCTATGTCTCTGCATGTACCTGCTTTTCTTTCTACTTTTCTTGGCCATGTTGTGACACAGCTATAGAGGCCAGCCAGATGCCAGTCGTGTGCTCTTGAACTTTCCAGCCATCTAAATAGTGAGCCCAATAAACCTATTTTCTTTATAAATCACCCAGTCTCAGATATTCTGTTATAGCAACACTAAGAGATCCTACTCAGCTCTCTCACAGAGAGCAAAGACAGTAGAACCAGACGGGGCTGGGCGAGTGGACAGGGCCTTCATCATGGGGAACATTGCAGATAACGTGAAGGATTGAGGACTGTATGCTAATCATGGTAGGAAGCCACAGTAGGATTTTGGACAGAAGAGTGATGCAATTATAAACAAATTGTTAATAGATCCCTCAGACTGTAGAAAATAGAACAAATGGGGCAAGCAAGAGCAGTAGCAGGGAGGTCACTGATAGGAAGTTGCTATGATAGAGAAGATGATGGCTGGGAGAGTGCAATGAGGAAGAATGATGTTTGAAGAACTTGGTAGTTAGAGGGAACCAGCAGTTAGCGTAATGGCTATGTCGCTGGACTCCCACGTAGTCGACTGCGGTTCGCGTCTCGGTGGCTTAAAACTCACACAGGGCGCGTGTGTGTGCGTGCCCAAGATTCCGAGACGAGAATGGAGGAGAAGGGATTACGGCGTGGCCATCCCTCCTGGGGGGGGTGATTTCTCGCTTTTTGTCTCTTTGTCTCTCTCTCGCTTTCTGTCTCTCTGTCTCTCTCTGTCTGTCTGGCAAGTGCACGCGCCCTATAGCAAAAACCTCTCCAAAAAAAAAAAAAGAACGAACTTGGTAGTTAGTAATCTATCAGCCAAAGGGAATGAAAAATGAGTTTGTTTTTTGGCTTGAATTTAAAAAAAAAAAAAAGAAAACAATAAAATAAAAGGTGATGCTCTAGTACTTTTACCAAGAACCCTGGAGAAGGAAGAATTTGGAGAGGTCAACCAGGAGTTCAGTTTGAGACATGGAGTTTAAGAGTACATAAGACAAACCAGTAAAGCTATTGAGTGTGTGGCTAGATATACATTAAGAAATCAGAAAATCATTTGTATGGGTTCATAATGCTAAACTAACTTTTTCTAGAGTTTGAGCCTGAATTACATGGATAACTGTCAACCATTCACTCTCTGCCACCTGTGTGGACCAGCTAAACTTTCACATTACTCTTCTGCTCACGTGGTTTTCCAGGGGTGTCCAAGAAGTCATCAGTGAGTAACCTAAATGTTTGTATTTGAAATGTTTGTATTTTTGAAGTAAAACTTCTTTGGTAGATCCTGAAAAGCACAATGAGAAAAAAACAAAAACAAAAACGAAAACGAAAACAAAACACAAAAAAAATACAAAGTAAGGCCCACAAAGGAACAGAAGGAAAGGAACTGCAGACCTAAAACAGCAGTGAATTTTGTGACCATTTTCTTCATCATCTTTCTTTACATTAGAGTACTTGTGCATAGAGAAGACAGAGCCTAGAAAAACTTTAAAATGCCATCCCCCAATTTCCCTCTTTCAAGCCCTGCAAGCGGCCTGTGCCTCCAGACTCCTGCCCCATTCTCTGTGTGCCTCAGAAAGGCCTGCGTCCCTGGTTGTACCTCCTGTTCTGACGCTCTTGTCTTCTCCCTTTCAAATTCCCCCCTTGCCCTCACATATTCACGCAATGAAAAGGGTCATTTACACTAAGTCATACTGCAGTGCCTCATCTCCAAAGGAGGCATCTTTCAGTAGAATTTGGTACCTTGAGAGAACAGGAGAGAAAGGCTCTGGAGTCAGGGCTGTCCCAATACCTCCAGTCACAAATTAATGATGTAGTCACCGGTCACTGATCTGCCCTTGTTTAACAGTGACTGTGTGATGATCTCTGGGTTAGACAAAGTTCTCTTCTCAGACCCTGGCCTCAAGCCAGTGCACATTCTGGTCGAGGTCAGAAAAGTTTTTCCTCTGAATAAACTGTTTTCTCTAAAGAAATTGGCTGAGTGGCATAACACTGGTTGATGAGTCAGAAAACTAGCCTCGGGCTCCTGTAACAGCATTTCCTAACTATGCAACCTTGGGCAAGCCACTTAACCTCTCAGAGGATCAACTTCCTAAACTCAAATCGGGATAATAATCGCTCCTCTGCATCCTTACAATTGGTTATTTTAAAGAATAAGAGAGATAATAAATGTGAACTGACCTTGAGATCTGTCAAATGTATATTATTACTATTGAAGAATGACCAGTTCCCTTACCCTATCCAGTGATTTTAAACACATAATTGAAGATCTTTTCATATTGTCGGCAATCTGGAAGGAAATTGTTGCTGGTCATTGCCAATTTTAGCAACCCACATTTTTGCAAAAGGAAGAGACGACTTTCATCATGAGTCTGTTTCTGGCACAGGAAAGGCACTGCCAGAAAACAATGCAGAGATGGTCCAGCAGGTGTCAGTAGAGACCCAACTTTCAGTACTAGGTGGGCTCCTCAGAGAGGAAGGAGATGCTGAGGCCTGATCAGCTCAAACAGGGGAGACAGGATTCTGTCATTAAATCCAGAGCTGTCCCAATTCTGGTGGGGTGTGGGTGGGCAGACTGAGAGACAACTCTTCTGCTTTATCAACATAATCCCTCTCAGTGGCTCCTGGATCCTCTGCCTTCAGATCCTATCCCATTCCTGCCTTTTATCTGAGTTTCTCTTCTGTCCTCAGAACCTTCCACACTCTAACCTGGAAAACCCATCTCTAGGGGAAGGAAGGCTTATTTGTTTCTTGGGAAAAATACTGCTTGGCAGTTAATTTCATCTTTGCCTCCCTACATCACGGTTGTTTTCAATATATGGGGGAAGGGGTCACCAAGAAGTTCACGGAAAATGCATACTGTGAAAAAACTATGGACTGGTTTCAAATTTTTGCACCAATGTAAACTAGTATCTTCATTTTATTTTTCCATGAACTTTTGGAAGTCATTTTGTATGATCTTTTAAAAGAATGATTTATTTAATTTTATCTATCACTAATAAATAATGAGCATGTATGCTCACCAGACTGAGGGAGAAAGTGAGAAAGCAAGCCACCAGGTCCAGGATTTTAATCACAGCTGGCCATGTGGGAGTCCTGCGTCTTAACCACCATGCCATTTGCCGGTCTTACTGTTGTATGATTTTTCACTTATACTTTCTCCTGCCATAATCAGTCATTCAGATTCAATAATTTGGGCATCAAATTCAGCTTCAACGAGGTACATGGTTACTAAATTGGGAGAGAATACCATTTACAACACCAAATAGGACCCTGCTGAATGAAGTATTTAATATCCTATATGATGCAGATGGTCTCCCAGACTATATTCTTTTGGGAACAGAATTTGATTGGAAATATACACGAGTTGTTATAATGTACCATGTTGCAAGGAGTTCTACTTGTAAGAGGCTTTACGAAACCTGAAGTCTTTCTTGGTTGAATGTGGAGATGACTTGGAGAGCAGAGTAGTGACTCTTTGCAATAGGAGCCAACCAAAACTGCTTGCCCTGCTCTGTGTACTTGTGTGTATATAAAAGACACACAAAATATCCTAGTGATAAGGGAGGAGAACTATGTGAGAAACTGACAGAGGAAAGAGCAAGCAAGATCAGACCCAAACGATGGTCTGAGCTAGACCTGCAAGCAGAAACACAAGAGCAGGGCCATGGCCACACAGAAGGCTAGACACTTGTGAGTCTGCCACACCTAGGAAATGGGGAAAAGAAAGAAGGGTTAAGTCAAATGGCTATGGAGATTTGTGGTCCAATTGCATTGTGGCCTTTCCTTTACCATAGTAAAAGCCAACGCTCTTCAAAGACTTAGGAACTATCTAGAAGAAGAGACTTGCAGCTTACTTAGGATAACCCAATCCCCACTGAGCATATGTGTGTGTGCATGTGCATCTGCATGTGCATGTGTGCGTGCATGTGTGTTTGTGTGTGTGTGTGTGTGGTGTTTAAGCCCGGGCAGTCCCTAGAGTCCTAAACTCTAGTATGTAGAACTCACAAGAAAAAGAAGTTTCACATTTTACCACTAAATGTGGAAAGTGGGTGCTGGGCCCAGAGGTCTAAATTTCTAGCTAGCAGAAAGACTAGCGCAATATACAATTTCTCCATTGCCACAAATCTCTCAAATCTCCCAATAGCTGGATGTGCTGTTTCCTTCTCTTTTCGAATGTGAATTATGACTTCCCTCTCTTTTTTGAAACCAATAGGTACTGTATTTGAAAAGGTATTGAAGATTAATGAAGGAGGGGGAAGTCTGTAGAGCAACTGCTTTGCACATTCTTTCATGGAATCTCCAAGGGAAAAACAAAAGTAGGTAGCAGATCTGGCCAGCCAAAGCTCTCACACAGTTAGGTTCCTGGACTAAGCAAAGTCCAGCATTCACTTTCATCAGTGTGGATCTGTGTGCCTAGGTTTAGGACAAGCATTTGCACTAGCGATTTAAGTATGGCGGCTTCGAAGATAGGGAGAGCCAAAGGATGCTGGGAATCATCTTTAGCCTCTGTCACTGTCACTGTGGAAGCTCCTGGTTCAGGTTCCTACTTTTAACCCTAAATCCCTATAAACCAAATTGTTAGATTATAAACCGGACTTTCTCTGACACTGTCCATTCCCAGTGTGGTGTAACAGTCTTTGGCTCTATCCACTCAGGAAAAAGCTGAGAGTTGAAAGCATTGAAAACAGCCACCAGAAGTGAGCAGAAACCCCAATCCGATGCAACCTCTTACAGGAAAAGCGAACAGAGCCTTGGCTGTGTAGACCAAACTCAAGTGAACTCGGTTTAGTTAAGCCCTTTTCTGTCCTGCGGGAGTCTCAATCCTGGTGGTTACCAGGCCCCAGGATCCCTTGCCTCTGCCCCAAGGGCCTCCTTGCCCGGCTCAATAGCTCTGAGCCAGTTCATTTCACCACAGCCTGGAGCAGCTCGGAAAGCAAAGATTAAAGGGGAAAGTCGCAGCTGTATATTTATATTTTCATTGCTAGAAGGGAATTGATTTCCGCGCATTTATTTTGGTAGTTGTAATACACAAGGACGGATTTGCGTCACCCGAGCAACTTGCCGGTGGAGATAAAGTTGCACAAATACTGAAAGGGGAAGTGCTAGGAGTCATTATAGAGTTTTTCTCCGGAAGAAATAAGGACTTCTGCAGTATCCTAAAATACTGAGGCCGCTTCTATTTTGAGACCAATCTCGCAGGCACATCCGCTCATTTAGTCCGAGTTTGAGTCCATCAAAAAACAGGAGATGACCTGAACTCCGGCGAGCTCAGGGTTTCCTGCCACTTTCTTGGTTCTGAGGGGTGGGGAGCAGGGAGGAGGGGAGTCTGTGGACTCAGAACAGTGTAGAAACTAGCGGAGCCTAGGCCCGGGCCGCGGAACTGGGCAACTGGGATCTCGTTTGCCTTCAGGAGTTCGGGTTAGGCCATGAGTGGCGCCGATGTGGTTGCAAAGAAGCCGAGAGCAGGGGAAAGCAGAGGCGAGCGCGTACAAAGTTGCAACTTGCAATAAAGCCTGGGGCCTTTAGGGTTGAGAGGCGCAGCCTGGCGAGGAGTCTCGGGGCGGGGAGTTGGGGAACCCTCGGGGCCTCGCCTTCGTCGCTTTTGCATAGCCCTAGGGACCTTGAGACGCAGCAGATAGAGGTCGTAAGCGCCGCGGGGAACCAGAAAGTCCCGCATTTTCCGGAGTCTGCACTCGGCGCCCACTCCGGAGGTTCCCAAACGGGTGAACGAGGGTGGCAGAATCTTATTTCCAGGAGCGGATAAAGAGTAAATGCGCTTCTCTTAGAGCCCGGGTTTGGGTTTTGGTTCCGATCTGAGTGGTCGCTATTTGGAATCACAGCCGAATTGGAAATCGCACCAGGAAGGAGCAGAGGGCCCATGGCGGCCCCTGTACCCGTTCAATGCTAGTGACTTTCCCGGGTGCGCAAAGTTACAGAAAACAGTGTCGCCAAAACCCTCAGCCCAAGCTGTCCCAAGCGGCTCTGTAGTTTGTCTCGAGTTAGACACAGAAGGAACGCTTTTTCTGCCTCTCTTGCCTCAAATTTCCCTGCCATCGGCCGACCACACCCATTCACCTCTGTGGAAATAGCACCCCTGTCCCGGCTTGAAGGAGCAGGGCAAGAACATTAGTACGAGAGAGAAAGGGAGAGTCGAAGAGGGAGAGAGAGCTGGCTCAGGGCTGGCTGATCGGAAGGGATCAATTAGTTATTGCCTACTTTCCAGGAGAAAATCAAAAGCTTAAAACGACAAAATCTGCAATAAGGGGCTCAAAAGAAAAGAAAAGACTAGAAATTAATGTAATGAACCCAAAGCCTGAACTCTAGATACACATGACAAATTCTGTTGTCTTTGGGGGTTTATTAGGTAAGACGTCTTAGTATTGAAGGGAAATAAAAGTGCCACAGACGCTCTGTTAGGACACGATTATTAGGACAATCGAAAACCAAACAGTTCGTGGTTTCATTACTGTTATTATTTTATTTTCTTTCTGAAAATATGCAAGAACAGCTCATCTGGGTGGCCTGTGGTTTGTTTGGGAGAGGGGTGGTGAAATCCATTCTGACTATAATTTAAAAGAGAACGAATTCTTAAACTGGAGATGTGGATGTTGCAGAAAACCCCACCACCACACCCACCCCGCGTTCTAAACACCCACAGCGCGAGTGGAAGACGTTGACCATCCCTGTAGCTCCTCCTGCGACCAGGCCCAGGGGCTTCCTGGTGAAACTGTCACCGAACTGAAAGTAGTATTTAACCCCAAGGAAATTTGCTCCTGTGGGCACTTGCAAAACAACGGACCCCACGTGATCCGGGGATTTGGCGGAGAAGGGAGGGTGACATTTCCTACAAGGTGCAGCACAGGAGGGGACGCGTGCCATTCTCCTGGGATTCGGAAGGCGGCTTGTTTTGTCACTCAGGCTCCAGGGAAAGGTTTCGCTGTGTCTAAGGTAGACATTCAGAGCCATTCATCTTATTTTGTTTGAAAAGTCACTCGTTTAAGCTGTCACTGGGTGACAGCTCAGTATAAAACTAATTTGCGGCCTTTCCGCCCCCTAGGCTTGCCTGAGGATCTCCCTGGAGCCAGCGAGGCAGACGTGGTGCCGAGCTGGGCCGGGACTCGGCCGCAGCATCCGGGCAGGGGCTCGGGAAAGATGCCGGCTCTGCCGAGGGCACTGACTATTGGGAGAAAAGCAGAGCAGTGAGATCCGGCGGGAGCGTGGGAACCCAAAGAGCAGGGAACCAGGAGGCCGCCGAAGTACTCAGCACTCCAGCGAGAGGCAGGCTTGGCACCGCGATACAGCGCGGGAGCACAGGTACCCCGCCCCGAGCCCTGCGGGTGAGCGCTCTAGGAAAGCTCCTGAGACCGACACTCTTCGCCCGGAGGCGATTCAGAGTTCCAAAAGTTAGAGTCTGAGTCCCGCAGCCGCCGCGCGGCCCCTACGCAGCAGAGGAATACGCGTTGTACACTGCACAGCCCACGCGGCCGCAGCAAACACTTTGGCGTGGCCGGGGCGTGGCCCGCCTTTGTCACACCCCCTTCTTCCCCCAATTCCCCTCCACTCCCAGCTCCCATTGGTCACGAGGACGGCCAATGAGCGCTCGGATCGAGGTCCTACCCCGGGTCTGACTCGAAAGCTCCTGCCAAAACTTTGGGAGTTTTTAGAGAGGAGTTTTTTTTTTTTTTTTTTTTTATATTTTTCAGGACTGTTTCTTACTCACTTTTTAAAAATGTTTATTTCAAAATACTTACAGATTTACAAGAAGTTGCATAGTACAGAAATATCTCCCATATATTCCCTTCACCCAGTTTCATCTCGGATGTTTATGGTAAAATAGCTAAGCCAGGAAATTGACATGGGTACAAGGTACACAGGGTTCTATGCCATTTTCTCATGGGTAGATTTGTGTGCTCAAACTCACTTTTATAACCAAGTTCTAATGTAGGTGTGGCACATTAAAGTGCTAATAAATACCTTTTGGAAGAACAAATGAATGATTGGATTAATAAATATATGAATGGGTGATGTTTGTTTAATGAAGACATTGATGACCTCTGATTTTCTGGGTAAAATGACTTTAGCAAATCCCCATTGTTGCCCAAGTAATTGTGGCAGAACCATATGGCCTTGCCCTATGACTACATGGTATTTAATTTTAATTTCCCCTTGTTTGAAGGCAGGATTGGTCTCTGTTCCACAAGAAATTAGGGCTTCTAACTTTCAAGGAATTGTGGAGCTCACAGAGCTTGCCTCATTGGTTTAATAACTCTGATATTAGAAATCTGTGCTTCTGTCAGGTGGGCACAAATACAGATATTGATTCAGTAAACCATAACCAGTCCCAAGTGAAGCCAAAACTAATTGAATCCCAGGTGAAGGAGAACTGAGAGAAGAGGCTCATTCAACACTTGAATTCCCCTTAGTAATAATTCTAACATATTGGATCGTCAAAAAAGTCATGACACCTTTTTGCATGGATAAAGACGTCATGACTTTTCTGACAACTTAATATATCTACTCCTCTGTCCTTCTCAGCAAAGGTCTCCTTTTTCGTTCTTTCAACCTCATGTGAGCTTCCTCAATTTCTTTCCTCTCCACTTTATAACATTTCAGTATGCTTATCTTGCTCTTACTCATTCCTGTTATCAATGCTTTATGTAGTATTCTTCCTTTCCTTGACAAATCGTTTTTTTTTTTTTTTTCTTAATACTTTTTTTTTTTTTTTTAACTAACGGATTATTGTTGTTGTTGTTTTAAATTTAGCTCTTAGGATTTTGCTGTTTGGGTTCTTCTTTCGGTGTCCAGCCCCTGTCTCCCCGCTTCCCCACCGTGTGCGGACTCTCGGCCCCTATCCTCCTGGCCGCTCCAGCACCCCTCGCTCGCCTCTAGCCCGCGGGGTGCGCGAGCTCCTCGCCGCCTTTAAAGTGAGGCCAGGGCTCAGTCGGTGCCCGGCCGGGATCCGGCCCTCGCTTCCTCCCTCGGTGGCTCTCTGGCTCCGCGGCCTGTCTTCCAGCGATCGCGAAGAAGCGAAAGCGGATTGTCCTCGACTGGGCCGCCGCCTCCTCCCGGACTTAGCGGGCCCCTCCCCGCGCACCCACCCAGCTAACCACCCACCCACCCGGTCGAGCCAGACCGCGGCAGCGGCGCGGCTCCCCCCGCCCACATCGTCGCCCCCGGGCTGCCTCC